GAGACATCAATGAATGGCGAAATATATGTCTGGTGCAAACATGATAATCCTGACACGCGTGTCATGTAAAAACATGACTAACTTATCACGTTCATATCGTGCTCGTGGCCGTTTCGCTAGTTCCACATATACTAAATTTTGTATCACGTGACGTGAATAGATGACGAAGGTAAACGATGCATTCAAACATGATAATTATGACACGGAAGTCATGTTTGGCATCATTTACTTCCAGCTCGTAACGTTGTCCTGATTTTAAAGGGACATATTATATTCCTCATTTGTGCTTCGTATATCATCGATTGCCACTGTACGTCGGATCTGTCGTTTTTTTTTTCACTCAGGGACAATTTTCTGCCTTCCGATGGTAGAATGCCAAGTGCTCTAAATCGTTAACCTCTTCACCTAAGCACCACGTATTCTAAACACATTACGTGGTCATATAGGCACGTTCTGGCGTTGTTTTAAGTCATTCATTCATTGGTACGTTCGTTCCCGGCATAAGTTTTGTGAATGCGACCACACGAATTATAAGACTCACGGGAGTGCTTTTTGCTCTCTCATAGTTAGGTATCAAGTATCAAATTGTTAACCACTTTTTCTACACGCAGTCACAGATTCTTCCACCCTCGGATCATACTTTAATTGTTTGAGTATTATCGGGGTGGCTCACTGCTCTCCCATAGTTGAGTGCGATGTACTCAAGATCGTTAACCACTTTGTCTAAACAAGTAGTGTGTATGATTTTCAGTGCCGTGCTCTATTTTACCTGTAACTTGGACGGTTCACTCCTTTCCATAGTTCAGTACGAAGTACTGGAAACCGTTGAAAACTTTTTCTAAACATGGATGCAAGGTATATATCAATGGTCGTGGACGCTTCATAGAACCTCATACGTTCGAACCATGGCAGCCCTCGATGAGGAGGGAACACTTGCGAAAACATAAAGTTAAGCAGTTGTGACGCAATAACTGGTAAACTAGGGGCGTCACTTTGTAGGCACAAGTGCGAAACTTTATTTCAAATTACTTTCCATAGACCCCTGATTGCTAAGAAATCCCGCTAAGGCAATCGCCGGCGAGTCTCCACGAGTACACTTCAAGTCAACGCCAGCCAATGTAATATCGACTCATGACTAGATAGTATACCGTTCAGTTTACATCGGTTGTACAAGGAATGTAATCTTGGAACGTTTATTTGGCGTTCGTGGCATCTTCTGCAGATAGATGAAAGCAATCAGAGCGTGCACGCAGGTTCTTTAGCGTGTGCGATGCTTGTGTTATTCAGTTCTATTAGGAAGAAACGACACCTACAGTCACACCAAAATTATATTTCAGTTTCATTCATTGATCCCGAAGACTCAAATTCATTAAACTGCACACAAGAATAATAAGCAAAAATACATAACTGATCCCCCAGTATATGAATCGGTATAACACGAGTGTGAAACTTGTCTTTGCAGAGGTAGTTGAACATTTATTGAGCATTCTTTCAGCAACAGCAACAAATTGCAAAGTCAGGTTAGGAACGGCAAGCAGCAAGAAAATTGCATCGCATACCTCAAGCAGAAAGAGCGTATGAAATTAGAATACACAGGACGAGCGCGGGCTAACAACTGTCACAGCTCGACACTTGAAGCGCGCTCTTCAAACAGAAAGTATGACGCATGAAACGAGTGGCCAAGTATACAGAGTTTCAATAATGCAGGCGTTGTTCTCCAAAAAACTTCCGGTCACCTCATTGATCAGCTCCTAACGTCGAAACTGGAAGCACGCTTTCGTTTGTTTTCTTATAAGGTGAGGAAAGCTTCTCTTTAGTCTTTCAGGTGAAAGGGACGTCCGCAAAGTACGAGGGACTCTCTTATAGTTTTTATTTAGCTCGAGAGAACATTTATTTGAATATATTTTGCCATATAAAAGAAGAAAAGTGTAGAAAATGAACAGGCTGTGTTCTAAACCTCTTCTTGCCGTCTATGCTATTAGGGCACATTGGTAGACGAAACCGGATGTCATAAAGGGCCTGTGTTTGTAAACAGTGAAAAAGTCTTCACATAGGCTAAGAGCAAACAACTGTTACAATTCTTCCTTCGCAATATGTCAGCAGTGCTCTCCTTTCGAAAACGTGGCTGCGACAACGTACGAAGTAACCTTCGTCCTCTCTAGGAGTACGAGTCTGGTAAACGCACGTTCAGGATAGACCACGCTTCGTGAAAGCGGCGCTTCATGGAGGCAACGACGTTTAGAGCGCGCCCTAGTCGAGCCTGTCGCGCCACCTCACCACTGGTAACGAATACAGGCTCAAGTTTGGAAGCTCTGAGGACTGCCAAATGGTATATGGTGTATATAAATGACCGGATTTTATGATTAGAAAAAACGTACGCTCTGTGTTATAGTGGTTAATGGCACGCACTGAGAATCAAGAGGTGGATGGTTTGATTCCGGGCGACAGAACTTAGCGTTCTAGTTTTTTCTGTGCGATCTCTCAGTCCATATTTTCAACGTCACTTACGTGACGGAAGTAAGTCAGCAGAGCAGTGGTGGATTCCGTAAAAAACACTTTTTTGTTGAAAAGCCTCCCGACACTACACGTGCTATGTTTTCCATTACGTTCCGATAATTTACCGTTACGTGTTCGAATGCAGACATGTGAATTGTAGCGCGATAGATAATTTGGCATTGTACTCAACAATAACAGGCATAATAGTAGGCGCTGCGTGTTTACGAAGAAAACCAGGCCGCAGGTATACTGATGGATGAAAGTCCAGCAACCACAATATTGTGGTTCGTTGCTCATGTTTTTTATCTATAGAAAACATAGGTCGCCAAGCATACGCTGGTTGCCAGGCATAACCACACCTGGTTCCACTCAGAAAGACCACAAGCATCAAACTTCTCAACCGTCTCGAGATACTTCGCCAGCATACAATCAGATTTAAGCCACGCACCTAACCAAATGCCAGATTGCCAACAGCGCCCTTTGCTACTCCTGGCATACCGAGGAGACTTCAAAACATATCTTCTGCGACTACTTGTGCAATGGCGATCTCTCTCAATCGCTCTCGCTTGTCTTGACAACAGAACAATGAGAATAAAAACTATTCAACATTGTCATCTTGGAAAGTCGAATGCTAAACGTAATTCGTGATGTCGTGTTGGTGTCGGCGCTCCTCCTCTCTTTGTCTTTCTTTACTCTTCTTTCAGTCTCTCTCATTCCGTACCGAAGGTTAGTGTAGCATGACGGTTATTTCAAACTGGTTAATGTCCCTGCTTTCCTTCTTTAGAGCTCATCTTTAAATTGATAACTATGGCTGACCGTTTGTTATTGTTAGGGCTTTAAAACACCCATTCGTGGCGCTATTCACAGGTTTAGACGCCTGGCCGACTCTGCGCTTCTACTACGCTATATAACATGCGTGAAGGAGACTCCTTGCACTAATTAAGGTTCTTATAACGTTTTATTTTGCAAAAGAGCTTGGAGCTAAGTTGTGGTTTTAGTTGACAAATATTTATCACACAGATGGCCTCAGTTGGATTCTCACAGGTACCAAGCGTTATATTAGGTAATGTATTGGCACCTTGCAGATATTTTCGGTGACGGACAAGATGATGGTTCTTCGTTCACGACTTATGATGCCGACACCGACCCCGGAATTTCTGTGAAATCAGCTGTTTAACCCTGTCAGGAAAAAAAATTTCTACTTGTATACATGCGTACACGCTATTTTCGCCAAGTCGGTTTGGCAGTGGTTGACCGCCTTTTCTTGATAAAGCAGATAGCACTATAACTCGTATACATATTAGGCAAACATTTACAACTAACTGATCTTGGTAGCGGTGTTGTATGCGAGAAACCCATCGCTGGCCAGTGCGCAGAAATGCCGCTCTTGAAGGTGTGCGGATCAGATAGATAAATATAAATAAAGAGATGGATTCTACTTACATCATATCTCAATATGATGTAAATAGAATTTTGATTGATTGATTGATTGATTGATTTGTGGGGTTTACCGTCCCAAAACCACCATATGATTATGAGAGACGCCGTAGTGGAGGACTCCAGAAATTTCGACCTCCTGGTGTTCTTTAACGTGCACCCAAATCTGAGCACACGGGCCTACAACATTTCCGCCTCCATCGGAAATGCAGCCGCCGCAGCCGGGAATCGAACCCGCAACCTGTGGGTCAGCAGCCGATAAATAGAATTTTAAGAACAACAAAACGTGAAATATGCCTGTATACCTGGTTCACAGACAAAACAAAGGAATCGACCCTATATTCTGTTGATTCTATTCTTGAATACCAATTAGACCGTGATCTCCCAAGACGTATTGACACACTCATTTATCTCCTACGACTCGGAACTGCTTACACAAAGCACTTCCCACTTCGTATTCATCGTGCAACATCGTCAGCATGTTCATGCAGACACGACGACGACATCTGTCAGCTCTTGCTGGACTGTCCGAAACATGACACACACTGAAGGCGACTAGAACAAGAACTGCATAAGTTAGATCCTGAGTTACCATTCGGGTTTAATAAAATACTAGGTCCATGGCCATCCAAAACAAACGGCAAAGCAATGAAGGTGCTGAAACAGTTCTTCGAAGAAACGAACATTTGTGACAAATACTCAGCGGACAAAAGTTAAAAGTGAGCGTGCGGTCTACGTATTTGTTCTGCCCATATAGGAGAACTTTTGCGCTCACCCATGTAGGACTGTACATACGTATATAAGCTATTGTTTTTTTCATATTTTTACTTGTACCAATTAGGTGAAAAGGGGCAGCCGTCGCCAAGTAACGGTGACAAAAACTCCTTCGTTTATTTTCTATTTCAAATAAAAAAAAAGAGATGGATAGATACATAGATAGATAGACAGACAGCTAGATAGATAAATAGATAGATAGATAGATGTCAAAACATGGCCAGTCTGTGCAGCCCAAACCAGCCGTTGTGGCGTCTGCCGAAACCGACCCGTGGTGGTGGTATTGCACGGAGGCCACTTCCAGTTTGGTGGCGGAGGTACGTACGCCTTCTACGAGGGCCTTCACGCAGCGGCGCTGTGGGACGCCGTCGTGGTCGTTCCGGCGTACCGGGTGGGCGCCTTCGGTTTCCTGAACATGCTCGTGCCCGACGCGCCCGGCAACGTTGGGCTGCTAGACCAGGCGCTTGCCATTCGATGGGTGCACAGGTGCGCGCACTGTCGTCTCTATTGCGTTCCTACATGAACATGAGGACGAGGTCACGTTCCCGTTTACTTGCAATTCATACCTTTGGATTGATGCGCCTCTGCAGTGTATAGCGCATGGTAAGGCATAAATGAACTTTCTTCTCTTGACGCCTGTAGCAATTACCTATTCATATCAGATTAATTTACCGTCGTAACACCTGGCGCAACTGTAGAGACGCCGTCGTATTTTGCTATTAAGGTAGAAAGTGCGTTATGAAAATTCAAGTATTCGGAATGAATAAATACACCAAGAGCCGCACAGTATTGTATTTTGGCGTTAAAATGGTCGTTGACCCTTGAAACAACTAAAGCGAACTATCGATTTTACAAAAGCTGGCTTAATGAACGCTTTAGAAGAACGAATTGTAGAAAACCAGGTGATTTGCCTGTGCATTTATGCCTAAATGCTTCTGTTGAACGAATTGTTGAAGAGTATTATTTCATCTGAACAGACTTCATCTGCCCAACCGAGCTCTGCAGTACTGGCGTAGCCAATGCGAGCCGCCCTGAAGTCGACCATCCAGCAGTTGCGGTGAAACATCGCTTGTGGATTCCGCGCTGCCGAGTTAAAGTGACCACGCGGTAGACGAAAGTGGGCCACATGATTGAATTTTCTTTTAAGTGTTTGTCGCGACCTTGAAAGGAAAAAGGAAAGTGTGGTTGATCCCCCACGTACACTGTCATCCTTCATGAAAGGGAACACGCGAATGCGTGGCCTGCGCTCTGCGGCGGCTGCCTACAGCACCATCAACCGAGAAGTGAAGAAAGTGCACTCGCTCTTGGCGTCATCTATTGCCAAGAAAGATAACGAGTCATGGCCGGTAGACAAGCGCTGCTACATTACCTTCCCTCACCGCTACCGCGATCAGCAATATCAGTCGATTACTGCAGCTTGCGCCATGGTCACGCACTACAGGCGTGAGCCGAGATGGAGTGGAATCTAGCAGCGCCTGTCTACTGGCCATAACTCGTTATTTTTAGGGGCGAAGCTCCTTATGGCGTGGCTTGTGCGTCCCTCGTAGTACGTAACCACCAGTGGCACATACCCGAATTAGGTATAACATTTGACCTCCAAGGTGGTGCCGGTGAGGGATTTCTTCTGTGCGTTGTTTAACAATAAAAAATAGTGCTCACTGCACATGCCAATGGCTGCTAATGGAGAATGAGAGACAGGAGCATTCGGCTTTTAGTCAACGCGCACGCTGCGATCCCCATTAGCAGCCATTGGCATGTACATTGAGCACTATCGGACAAGAAAGGGTTGCTACATTATACTCGCTGGGTGTAACCTCCTTAGTTTTAGAAAGGTTTAGCGAGCGTTGAGCCACAGGGCCATGAATACAATGAACTAGTAGATACCATGAATGAATTCAAGGTGGTTAAAGGGGGGAAGCAGATACGAAGCGCAAGCCGTAAGAAATTAAAAGCTAAATCCTCCTGTCTCTCATTTCACATTAGCAGCCACTGGCATGTACATTGAGCACTACCTGTCAGGAAAAGGTTGCTACGTTATACTCACTGGGCGTAACCACTTTGGTTTAAAAAGTTTTAGCGAGCATTGGGCCGCAGTGCCATGAATACAGTGAACTAGTATATACGATGAACTCAAGGTGGTTGAAGGTGGGAAGTAGACCCGAAGCGCAAGCCGTAAGAAAGTGTGCGTGTTCCACCTCTCGTTTAGTCCTTGGAATGTCCACTGAATGGCGGTGCTTCTATATGGGGAATATACGTTAAAAAGATGCGAGATAGTGGGACTTGGAGTGTTGAATAGATGGACGAACGGACACACAGACAGATGCATGAATGGACGCATGAACGGACGCAGGGGCGGATGCATGAACGAACGCAGGGACGGGCGCACGAACAGACGCATGGACGGTCACACAGACGGACGCATGGACGGACGAATGCTTCGCCCCACTCTCCATCATTCACTCCGTAGATATGCTGCCATTTTTTATTTTCTTTTGACACCAGATGACACTGGAAGCGAACGTGTTTCCTTTTGCTGTTGGTTGATGGCGCTGTAGGTAGCCGCCGCAGAGCGCAGGCCACGCGTTCATGTGTTCTCTTTCATAAAGGATGACAGTGTACAGTGGGATGCACGAATGAGGATGGCTGATATGTCCTTTCAGAATCAGCACAACGTTACGAGGCGCATAGAAACAGTACACAGTAAACAAAAGTAGAAATGCTATTTGAACCCGGCCATCTCTGGCAGACAAATGAAAATTGGAGATGCACGTCACGCGTTTCCCCGTCTTTCCGCCGCATTGCCGCTTGCTTCTGTGCACGTAAAGGGCTCTTGCGCTCCACTTGAAGTGCAATGCATATATTGAAAAAAAAGAAATCTCCCAGCCGGGCAGACCTTTAATAGCAAACGTAATTAAATCACAAAAGCTTGTTAATTACGTTTTTGTTGTGGAGCAGATGACAACGATGTCCGACTTAACGCGATACATGCATTTCCGAAGTCCTCGACAATACCTTGTATGATAGGTCGAGGAACCTTTCTTATGTGATACGCTGAATATACCTTAGGGTCTATATGCAGTTTGAAATAAAGCCACTGACGCGGTCGATCTTCTATGTTTTCGGCAATGAAAAACATGATTGCTGTTTTGATGTACAGTACTCACGGATTCAAAGAGGACACTCGGAACGTGTGGCCACCGGCAGAGATAACGCAGCTCATGGGTGCTCGGAGAACCAAGGATCATCAAGGTGTTGCATTGTGGTATTGAACGAGGGGGAGAACATCTGAGGATCAGGATTGCTGTTTCTGGTTGCCAGCGAGTCGGCGTGTAGTTAACCATGTGCACAGCGCCAGCGTATGCTAGAGCACTTTCGCATGCCGCCAAAAATGGCTCGCCGGTAGCCATCCTATCGCCGGTTTTCACTACTTGCTTTGCAGCGCGAGCAGACGACGCTCTCGTTCTGCGCCTTTCGGCAATGCGGCACGCATGCTCTTCAAGTAATAAACATGATTCAGCTAAGAGATTGCGCCTTGCATACGTTTCCAGGCATGATAAACATAAACATCTGCACAAAAGCATAGTGAGGTAATTTCGGGATTTCTGCCGCGACAAATAAGATAGAAGCTGTCACAGGCCTATACACTCTAAGCCGAAAAAGACTAGAGTGGGGTATGCCATTGGTCCTTTAGGGGTCTAAATGCGCTGCCACAGATTTTGAACCAATTTTGGACTAACTGCGGGAGTAACTGCAAGGGCTCAAATGTTACCCAAAGCACTTACTCCACTTGGTTTAAATGTTGGCCCCAGTAGAATGCTCCAGCGGGACTAACAGTTGAACCGTCTGGACCAATGGCAAAAAAATGGCGACACTGCGTTTGTGCAGTATACTTTATGTTTATTCCAATTTAATCAGCACTGAAGATCATATTATGTTATTCATGCAACACACACACACATACATACGCACTATTATTTCAAAGTAAAACACCGCAAACATTGACTGCCCGCGCTGTACTACAGAGAACAGACTCTCGGGTATATATAGCACAGTATTTCGACTTCCCATCTAGTGCCAAAGGGCGACTTTTACTCGGCTTAAGAAAACAATAAATATTGACACCGTAACGCGAAAATTTACATGGGCTTATTCGTAGCACCAATGCGCATCGATCTTTTAATATGGGCCATCTAATTTTCAACATGCCTCCAGCCCGAGAATACGAATTATCAGCTAGTATTCGATCATGTCGGCCGACCCAGCGTTCGCAGTGCTGGCGCACGAGTCCGCAAACACAAACATAGCAGCGGCGCTTGTGCGGGAAAGCCGGCAAAGCGGCCGCAGGCGCCCCGCCGATGTCATACCGTGTCGGCTTGCCGACGGCGTCGCTAGGCTTACGACGAGTACGGCTAAACGACCGCCCGCGATCGCAACATGCGGCTCGCGTGAAATTTTCGTCGTCGTTATTTTATAGTCACAAATGAACAATAGGTAAGTGCCCCATGTTCGCTGTGTCTTACGCAGTGATGTAGATATCTGTATACTTACAGCGACGAGACCGTTCACAGGCACGGTTCTTTCATCGTGCTGGTAAGGCACAACCTGTGTACCGCTGGCCGCACGATTAGTCGTATCCGCGATCGCCTACACGTTGGATTTTTGATAACGATTGTCGCATGGATAAAAAGACATAAGTTTGCCTGAGCTACTATTTTTGTGAACTTGTACGCGACGTTTCCTTCGCTTGTACCGGCAATGCACTCACACCGGCAGCCCGCTTGATACCGATGACGTACGAAGCCTACTTTTCCTATCTATCGCTTTGAACTTGTGGTCACTGTGTGGGTACACGACCGCTGATGAACAGCTTACCTTTATTAGCATTGTCAGTGTTCACCGTAGTTCGAACTTATTCAGCACATTAAAGCGAGTTCTCGGCATTGCCCGTGTTTGCGGAGACTTTCACTTGGCTTCGGCTCACCCGTGCCGGCATGGTGGAAACGCGAGGGCACTTGCTGTGTGCACTGACAGCGTGTTGTACTACTTTCCTCTAATAACATCTTCTATTCGTTTCATAGTGCTCCACTTTCACAGTGGCGTATAGCCTATTTAACTTGTTTCCATGATCGCTGACCACGCCGAGCATTGCAGTGCAGCATCGACAGGAGGCGATCGCGGCGCAGTTGCCCTCCCCGTTGGTCCCTTCATTGCCGGGCGTTTGCGCAAGACACGCATTGTCACACATTTAGTCCCTGTTTGACGAACCGTTCGTCCATTGGTTTAACGACTGCAGTTAGTCCAACTTTGCCGAATTTCGGCTTAGAGTGTAGGAACGCAACGCTGGCAGTGTGCGCATGGCTAACTACACGTCAACTCGTTAGCGACCGGAAGCAGCAGTTCTGCTCCCCAGATGTTCTCTCCCTCGTTTTATACCAGTGTGAAACACCTTGGTTCCACGAGCTGCGCTATCTGTGACGGCGGCCAGGCGTTCCGTGTGTGCTATTTCAATCTGTGAGTTGATTGATATGTGGGGTTTAACGTCCCAAAGTCACCACATGATTATGAGAGACGCCGTAGTGGAGGGTTCCAGAAATGTCAACCACTTGGGGTTCTTTTTACGTGCACCCAAATCTGATCACATGGGCCTACATTTCCGCCTCCATCGGAAATGCAGCCGCCGCAGCCGGGATTCGATCTCGCGACCTGCGGGTCAGCAGCCGAGTACCTTGGCCACTAGATCACCGCGGCGGGGCCCAATTCGTGAGTACTGTACATGCTGGCAGTAGGAAGCGCTTGCTGTGGTGAATGAACTTTCGCGCCGTGCGAAAAAGAAGCAAGGTTGATACAGCCATATAGCACTAGAAAGCCTGATAATGTCCTTCGTACCAGTCGAGCATCACCCGCCGACTAAGCTGCTGCGAAGCAAGTTGAACTACTACTCTCGTATATTTTTTTCTTTTTTTAGGTTCTCGCATCGTGCTTGCACTACCATAGCAGGTGTATAAGGCCATTGTGCAGGTATATAAGGCCTGCTGCGTGGACGCGGCTCACTTTGGTACGTGCCGAATTACAGGCAGGGTGTCACCCCTGTGCCTTCGGCGGTATACCCTCGCTCCCAGAGACGCCCATAATTTGCTCCCAGAGACGCCCATAATTTGTTTGCAACTGCCAAGGCGCACCGCACTAGCATGGCTTGCAGTGGCTCTGGGTCTTTAAAATGCAAAAAAAAAAGCGCCTGTTCACGCTGCGCGCGCATAGAAAAAGTCATTTGGGTACCACTGCGCTGCCATCTGATGCGACAACAACCAGCGCAAAAGGAATAGATTGCTGAGCACTGCCTGCGCAGTTCACAGCACATCGTGGGGATCGTGCCAGTGTGGTGTGTTGCTATTGCACAGATTTCCGTCCACAACGAAAAACACTGAGCTCGGCTGCCCTATAGGATATAATCGCAATCATCCGGAAAAACTAGGATCCCAGTGAAGTGTATGAGTAAGTATAATTATGGCGTTTATTCAAGCGCGACTCCAGCTGTTTGACTTTGCAGCAGCGATTTGCGAGCAGTATGCCTGTAGTATGCGGCACAAAACTATTGCTTCGCAGGCCGCATGTCAATAATAGGATATACGTATTACGACTCATACGTGGGTGCACACGCCACGCATGTTTAGTGCCACTGTAGCGGCCTACTATCGCGATGAAAAGAGATGTGAAAGGCGCGGAAAGCATGACTTTCGACTCGGTCAAACTGCGACATGCCTTGACTGTCACTAGTGTACTTTCGGTCGGCGTCATCGTAGCATTTTAAAATCTTGTTCTGGCTGGCACTTTCGCACCGCGCGTGTGTTCCGAGGGCCCGGAAGGACTGGTTTGATACACTTGGAGCCAGATTCTAGCACTACGTTGACACCGGCAGTACAGATTCTGCCCTGTCTAAGCCAAGGCATGCCGCAGTTAACGCGGTTCGCGTTTCTTTCAGTCGGATAATACGTACCTGATGAAGTTGCTTCCGCAGTATGCAATGCACGGGCTGCAGACATTCCGGACGGTCGATAAAGGTCTCCTCGACGTTTCACACGAAATTAGCATAAATCTCTTGCACAAGAACCGCGCGAAGCATGATTACAGCCACATTCGGTTTGTGAAGTTTCGCGTTTGATTTGCAGAGCATCAGCTCACGTGGCAGTTGAGGGTGTTGCTTTGCCGCACATGCAACAGATGGCGCTACGCGCTTTTCATGATGGCAGCAAGCACTGAACTCTCTGTATTCTGGTGCATAGGGCACGCGACGAGCTCGCGCAAGTAGTGCACGCATAACCACATTTCAAACGAACTGTGGGTACAACGGAACTCTCCCAAGCGATCTGTGGGTACAACGCAAAAATTGTTTAGTTTATTTGGGCGTGCTGCAACTGGCAATTTAGGTGCAAGCGACTGTCGCGTGACACCGAGTTCGAGGCAAGTACTCCCTCCGACGTGCGTTCTGTAACGCCTTAATGCGTTAGATTCGGGCGCACGCATAATGCCAAAGCGATAAAGTACATACGCGAGCAATGTATCTTACGATCAGTGAACTTGCTTTATCAGATGGCTCCGGTGATTTTCACCTGTGCAGTTGCATTCTCCACAAATCTCTCGCTTTTTGTGCATCGGAATATTCAATTTACTACGCAACCTAGACATTTCTGTTGATGATGGCCTTCCTTTTTTATATACTTCAACTGGAGATGCATGCGTCTCCACTTTCCCGGTGTAAAACGAAAGGCAAAACTGAGACCTCCGAGGTAGCTGCGGCAATCGCCGATACCAATCGCAAGAAAAAAAAAGCCTTGTTGTGGTCACAACTAACATTTTGTGACTTACCTGTATGACGTACATGTTAGCATTCGTTAAAGCCCAAACTTATAGCCTTCAAAGCGTATACGTACGTGATGCTGTGTGGTGGAGACCACTGCATATTATCGGTGGTCGTGGCTTTTGGGGCGTTTTAAGGCGCGTCACCAGCCTGCATTTAACACGGCACGCACCGTGGTCGGAGGTTCTGTTAAAATTTATAATCAAATTTACCACTGTTTTCCGCCAAGGCTGCTCGAAACAATAACAGAAGATATACATAATGACACTTTCTTATGCGGCCGACCGTTGAGAACGCGGGTAATTCGCTTACCCAACACGTTCGCAACGGCCCGTATCGAGCTCTCTCGCCGTTCCACTTAACGACAGCTACGGGAGTCAGCGAAACTGGTGTCCTTTACGTCTGTGACAATGTACAACGCAATAGTAGCGCGACTAAGGTCTTTCTTCATAGGCCATGGAGCTGTTGCGTCTGCTCTTGTTTTCACCGTAGTTCTTGCGAGTGAGCCAGCAAGCACTTCATGGCGGTTCAGCGACGCGTCCGACTAGCGGAGCGAACTTCGTAGCTCTTTTTCTTAGTGTTCTATTCACAAAGACACCTAATATTTAGCTCAACTGTTGTTTCGCACGCACCGACTGCACCTGCTTGCGCAGAAAACTGTACAAGAAAGTCGGGCTTTGCACTACCCAAAACTGCGTCGACAGGTGGCACTACGTGTCTGCGAAACTCCAGAGTCTGGCGTCTATCCGCAATTTTTCTGAGCTTACCGCTGGAGTCGCAGCGCTGCATTGTCGTCACTCCGCAACTTAGCCTTTGGGTTCTTGTGCGTAACCCTCACAAGGACGACGCTGGATTAGGGAGGCCGTATGAAAAGTCGGCACCGTCCCACAAAATCAGGGATGGTTGGTAATATACTCATACACTAATGTATAGGTTCTTTTTCTTTAAACTCCCCTTACGCCATTGAGGTATAGTGGTTATGATGCATGATTGCTGAGACAAAGGTCGCGAGATTGAATCCCTGTCACAGCGGCTGCATTTTAGATGGAGGCGAACATGCTAGAGTGCATGTGTGTTAACATTTATGTGCACGAAAAAAAAACCAGGTGGTCGAAATTTCCGGAGTCCTCCACTACAGCGTCTCTAACAATCACATCATCCTTTTAGGGAGTTCTTATTTAAAAGTATTGTTTTCATTCATTTTTATATATTGCGTCTCAAACAAGTAACCATGACTACACCCACTGAAACCAACCTTTTACCTCCGCCCTACAGCGTCCAAGCATCAGCGCAAGTGGGCCTTGTTGGTTTTTGTATCATACAGTAGTGTTGTCACACATATTTTTTACAGGTTCCATGACACTATAAGACATCTACAACACAGTGAAATCTTGCGCCGGCGTGTTGATTGCTCCAGTCGCTGCCTTTGCCTTTGCGACGGCATTGAAATGATATCATATCTACAGATCGTAAAGAGAGCAAGTTAATATGACGAAGCAATAACAAGAAAATTACACTGCAACCATTTCAGGGGAAAGTAAGTGCCCGTTCTTCTCAGTTCAGAAATGATTTGGAACAAAGCTCGATGAGTAATCTCACTGATTATCACAGTCTGCTTAAAATGCATTCCGAAAATAAATTACCCTTGAAAAGCCTCGTCCTGAGCGTACTCCACTTTCAGGTTTAAAAAAAATGCGTGGCAAGGTTCTTCGGGTTGTCACTTTAAACTTGTAGAGTAACTTAGGATAGCCTCATAGTTTTATTAGTGGAACTGTATCCAAGGCTTGTCATAACTCTTACCACCAGGCGTAAACATTTCAGGTATATCCACCATTTTGGTGGTGACAGCCAACGCATCACGTTGCTCGGCCAGGACGCCGGCGCCACATCCGTCGGCTACCACCTGGCACGCAACGACACGCCGCCTATACAACGAGCCATACTAATGAGCGGCTCGCCTTTCGTACCGCAGCCAGACAATGCTGGTCAGCGTGCCCTACTGAACGGCAACGCCTTGGCCGATGTCCTCGGCTGTAGCAGCAGGGGTAGCTTGCAGGACGCCTCCGAGCGGCGACGGGTGGTGGAGTGCCTGCGAAAGCGCAGCACATCCGTCATGGTGTTGGCCGCCGATGAGTTGGCCACAAGCAGCGACACCATTGTATTTGGTCCCAGCAAGAACAGTGACTTTCCGTGGAAATTGGCGGGCACCGTGCAGTTCGAGTCGATATTGAAGCACGTCGACTTCCTAGTGGGCGTCTCCAAGGATGAAGGCACGTCGCACGTGTCGCAGTTGATGCAGGCGTTCGGCCTATCTGCAGACCAAACCCTAACACCCAGGAGGTAAGACATTCTTGCGTTGAGCTTGGGCTTGGACACCAGCAAAACTGCATTTGCGTGGCCCTGCATTATTTATTTCATTGCATAGCTGTGCTCTAACCAACGCCACAGTGCACATACTTCTTGGGACTTCCCTAATTTTGCTTTAGTTTAGCAGAAAACCTGATGAACAGCAAGGTAGGTGGAACGTTGTCGGTAATCGACATGCCATATAGACGAATACCGTCTGGGCTCACGTGCTAAGTCTTAATGCTGTAGTGCTATATGTTAATTTATATGCTCTGTAGTTATGTTGTCGCAATTCATTTTCGTACCTGCAGGGATTCATTTGTGCATTTTTCACCAATGCCCTTTCCTGTATGTGCATACTAAACTCACTCCTAGGTGCAATAGCCCGCAAAAGCCTTACGGTGCCCATAGCTGCATAATCAAATAAATGTCCACTCTCGCATGAAGCTACCGAGAGGATGCTGAATAGATTCAGGAATCCGTTAAAAATTGGTCTATTGAGCTTAGTATCGTCATTCACTTCGCGCGTCTTTACTCGACTTCAATGAAAATTCGTCCTTCTTCCTCTGAAAACTCGTAAGAAGGTGCGGGAGGACACTCAGATTTAAGTAATTGGTTCTCTGATTGACTGCTTCTTCAAACAAACACGTAAGACTGAAAAATAATTGATACAATAAAACAGGCAATGGCCATCGGTATTCGCGACAACCCCAATGGTTTGAGAAGTGTCACGTGAGGATGAAAGACGCCATCTGTTATCTGTGACGCCTTGATGGCGCCGCTGGTTGTCGCTGTTTGTCGCGTCATTATGAAGGGAAATGATTACGACGGACCATTGCCAATCTCACTGGCGTCACGCCCCACTCCTTTTACGTGCCGTTCACCCTCTCCACGACGCCACTCGGTTTCACCAATACAAGGCTGCCAAGTCCCACGAGTCTCAGAACACTAGTTGTCACAGTTGATGAGGCGATGACTCCGGTGCTATCGAACCTCCAAAGCTCTCGGCGAAGTTCGTTGAACGTCGTAGACGTGTTTGTGAAGGACGTTTACACATCTGGCCTTGCAGGCACTGGAACCATGATTTCTGTTATGGATGCGAGACTTGAGGAAAAGTAACGACGCCAATTTTCAGTTTCTTCTTCCACACTGTTGGCACTTCTTCACGTAAATTTAACATCTGTGACTTCTTTACGTATTTCAGCAACGGTGGTCTACAACTGAATCTGAAGAAGTGCTGATTTGCCGCATGAGAACTGACAGCCTTCGGCAACGCCTTGTCAAATGATGGAATACTTTCTAACGCAGCATAGCTTCGATCTTTGGCCGAGTTCTCCAAACGTACGTGTGTCTATGAACTCCGCAGTATTGTGGGACTGTGTTTCTATTTCCTGCGCTTTATTCGAAACTCCGCGTGACATCTATATTTGTTTCTATTGCATTCGTTGCTTCACAGTTGAAGCAAAACTGAGATCTTTCTTTTTTTTCTAACGCTCCCAGTATTTTGTAAAATTGAAAGGTCACGTGACGAAAAGAAAATGTTCCGCTCTCGCCATTCTAACTTTGTGACTAAAGAGGTACTTAACATGTTTTAAATTCAAGACGCACAAGTTTGATCAGGTTGCCTTTAAAGGCAGTGTAGGATGGTGTGCACAAAAGCGGGATTGAGGCGTTTCAGCTTCATTGAAAATAGACAGATGTGGTCTAACGTGACTTCTGGAAGATATTAAGGGACGGCTTACTGCCCTCCCATAGTTGAGTACGGAATACTCGGCGATTCTTAAACACTATTTTTAAACGAGCTTAGGCAAATCAGTCTGCACAATTTTGTACGGATCTAGCTCAGTAAAGCAGCTCTCATTAGTTTACCCGTTGTTCTAAACGAATGGTAAGAGTGTAAGCGGCATGCATTGCGGCTTTTCCACAGCAAAGAGAATATACCTGGCACCCTAAACTGTTCAGATTTTGTTCTAAAACAGTCGTAGGTACTTATCTTTCTGAGTTGTGCTGGGCATTACGTAGACGATGGCGCGCAGCACCCTCATTGTGGAGCGACAAATGGTCCAAATCGCTTTGCTTTCTTCTTGTAAATACACATTCTTATGGTAAAAACAGACGAACACAGCTATGACATTTTCAAGGAGGTTTTACTAAATGAAAGATGTTTGTTTTGTGCTTCGGTTCATCTCTTTAAGGTTAGGGCTTGGGCAAATGGTTCACGAACACATAAAAGAAGTGTGACAACAACAGGGAAGAAACAGAGGAGACATCTGATGAAAATAATTTTTACAATTTCTGGCGCCATAGTCAAATTATACTGTGTATTGAAGAGAGTATAAATGGGCTGAGTTAACCTACCTTTCGGAACGGCACGGGTTTATCGGTGGGAAGTTTTGTAGATCTTGCAACTTAGTACCTTCTTTCCGCAATTGCAACATGCCATGGCAAGATTGAGATCCAGGGTAATGGGGTCTTCACTGGTTTCAGCATAACACTGGTATTCATGTATTTCCAACGCATCTAAATAGGCGATTGAAGAACCAACTGAAACTTTTAAGGTTGACCAAGGTTTTCCGCAACGTAGATGATTTTTTACCTACTTTAAACAGAGATTAAGCGGGGCTGCAACCATGACGTTGGAAGTGTTAAATCAAGTCTAAAATATTTTCAGCCACTGGCTTTAAAGCCCAGTTTACCATTAAGTTTCCTCGCCCCGCCGCGGTGGTCTAGTGGCTAAGGTACTCGGCTGCTGACCCGCAGGTCGCGGGTTCGATTCCCGGCTGCGGCAGCTGCATTTCCGATGGAGGCGGAAATGTTGTATGCCCGTGTACTCAGATTTGGGTGCACGTTAAAGAACCCCAGGTGGCCGAAATTTCCGGAGCCCTCCACTACGGCGTCCCTCATAATCAAATGGTGGTTTTGGGACGTTAAACCCCACAAATCAATCATTAAGTTTTCTCAATATACCCTGTAGGCAGCTCTGACGCTAGTGTCTATGGAAGCTGCAACGCATGACAACTAAGTGAGCGTGGGCATTATGGGTAGCACACGGATTTACCTAGTCATCGTACTTTACGTTCCTTTTGACTTCACGGGGCTTGAGGCTGTTTTCTCACGAAACGAGAATCAGCAAATGTGCCTCACCAGCTTAATCTTTTAGGCTTACCACTTAAAATCGGTTCACGAAGTTCAAAAGGGTTCGTTCTTTTTTTCGAAACAAAACTGAAACCAGCAATAAATCAAGCAATAAATGCTACGCGCCGCCCGCAAGTACAAAGAATAGGCAAATCCGTGTACTACACATCATTTTTAAGGTCACTGAACTATCGCAGCGTCGGAGTCCTCTCTGATTAAATTTAGGAAACTCTATGCGATTGAAAGAGGGGCAGATCATCAAGTTTCTGGATCCAAAGCCTAAATTTGTCACAAATCATACCTGCTAAGCGTATGAGCCACGAGCCAACAAGTCATTACTGCCTTTTGATTTCTCCCATTGAAAGCTAGTAAAGAGTCTATTGCCACAACGTGCTTTATTAATGCCCTAAAGAAGTCATGTTGGCCCTTAATTTCAGAGAGCTTTAGTAAAGAGCTAGAACGTCTCAAGGCAGCAGGTTATTCGTCACATCTGTTACTTTCTGTCGCAGAAGTTCTTCAAAAGGTAAATAATAGTGAGGCCTGGCAGTCAGTGTCAGATAGCAACAACTGTCAAAAGTTTACTGTAATATCGCAAATGCTTATGATCGCGTATAACTTGAAAAATACAGGGAAGTATGCCGACGTCTGAGCGCTATTCTCCGCACCGAGAAATTCATCGTCCATGTGTGCGCAAGTAAAGAAACCCGTAAGAAAGCAGTAGCTCTGCGCGCTAGAACCTTAACGTAGCCTAGTATATTGCACGGTAAATGTGTATTCAAACCGGCTGTCATGTGGTAAAATATACGTTTGCCAAACGAGAAGGTGCGCAAATATAAGATTGGATGACAATGAATATAATGTGAAAAAAGCTTTCAACGTCCACCTTGGGATTTACTGTACAGATTCGGGCAGATGAAAATGCACGCCTTAAGGATGAATGCGGTAATCTGGAGTCTATAACCCTTTCTCAGAAAGAGATAGCTTTTTTTTTGTCTTTGAGGTGAAAACGCGTGTTGTGAGAGAGAGTAGCGATACGATGATGGTAACGTCCGAGCGACATTTTTGTATCGTGGTAGTCACGTGTGGTTTGTCTCTCATGGTATAAATGTGTTCGCATTCTTAGATGAAGATTAGTTGTAAGTCATTTTTCTGTCTTGCTTCCTCTGTGGTTTTCCTGCCATTTCCAAGCTGTTTTTACTACATGGGCTCATTTTTGCAAAACAAGAAAAACTGTAGCACTAAGAACAAAAGCGCCGAAGCTTGTACTAAGCCGCACAAAGCTTGATGCAGTAAAACGCGATAATTTTGTTCATTAATCTGGTCATTTCGAGGTAGTGGCGTACTAGTATTTAGCTGGGTGATATGTGTTAGGTTGTTACTGCGTTTTTTTTTCTCAGCGTGGACCGGTTCGAGTTAAGTCGCAGACAGTCACAGACATGACGTGGATGCCCGCACTCCTGAGACAAGACCTCGCGACGAACCCAAACGCTGGCACCTCATGGAACTATGGGCACGAGAACACTGGCGAAGGATTTTCATCGCTCCGGTATCTCCTCGCAGGTGCAGTGGCCCATCTCGTTCCCTATAATATTCTGCCGTCGTACGTACTCGGGATCTTCGATTCGCCGCCGTCGCCTCACAGCTATTTAATGTTGTGCCAACTGCTGCACTCTTCATTTTTAGTGAAGCAGTGGTGAGTAGTGCGAATAAAATGTGATTACTGCAACACGTGCCCGTCTATGACTACGATGCACATACCCCTCTATAGCAGTTTGTTTAGTTGGCCGGATAAAGAACGACTTACTGAATAGCTTCGGTGTTAAAAACACCGACATATCAAAGACAAGTACATGACACGTGATGGAAATCTCAGGTTGCCTTGACTTTCTGAGCACCGCGGCAAACATGGTCCCCGAAAAATCGACACGGACTGAATCTGTTGGCAAAGATGCATCACCTACGACGGGCTATTTCTACGGCGACCCATGGGCTCGCAACGTATAACAGGCATTCAGTTCTCCAAGGGCATCATCTCCAAGGACTTATTTATTGCGCACAGCTAGGTACACATCTATTCTAGTAGTGTATATAGTATTCTTAATTTTTGCAGCAACGATTCATATTACTCGTGTTCCGGGATTTATTGCTTTCGTTCTTCGTCAACAAAATATCATGCGAGTGTTGAAGTGAGAAGTGTCTATATGTGTATGTGTCTGTCAAAATAATGCGTGCATGGTGCAGTGGTTTGCTCAGTTCTCTTAGGTGCTGGGCTGAATAATATCGAACAAAGACTGCATATTCCAGCCGCAAATAGGCACATTCTTCTAGTACTCTTGACGTCATCTACTCAGACATCATTCACCATATTTAAGGTTTCATACTGAAACCAGTAGCACAAAGTAGCACAGTAGCCTACCACTATTCCTGCACTGGTCCCAAACTACTGCAGCGAGGGAGTAAAAGGCACAAATGTTTCTCAAGCAGAGTCCACCTTCATTATAGAGAGCGCTTGCAGTTCCCTCATATCAGAGCACATAGCTGTACTATTCATCTGCATTTTCTTACTGATTTTATCTGTATTGTGAAAGTGCTGTGCGAAGGCCACACATACTTACATAGAAGGCCCTAAGATCATAGTAGACATGATGGACGAAAGGTTCTTTCGACACTTGTTTTGTTATATTGTTGTCCGTTCAATAATAAAAAAAATGTTTTTTTATTGAGTGGCTGTGGCAGCACATTCATTTTTTTCTGTCAGTCTTTTGTGTTCTCTCTCGCTACTCGAGGTTTAGGACCAGCTTATTAGCCTATAATTATGAACTGCATATAAAGAGCCTAAAAGGTTCGCATGTTAGTGACGGAGCAGCGGGCGACAATCTAGTTTTTTTTATAAGCCCTTCCACTGAAGCACAAAATTTCGTTTTTCATGAATATTTGGAACTCTTTCACTCAACAAGACTTGCATTAAGACGTCTGTTTTGTTAAAGTAAATTGTGACATTCGGTGCGTCTGTTGTCTGAGAATATTTTACTATAGTTCGTCACAATTGATTCAATAAATTTGTTGGATAAGCAAGTGTTTTTTTCCTTTTTATTTGTGTGTGAGCGTCTCGGATCGCTGTGGCACGCAGACGTGCGAACGCCGTCGTTCGAGTACCACTGCTAGACGTCTAGGTCATAGATCACGCAAAGTTGCAACTTCTGTTTCCCCGAATATACATGAGCTCTATATAAAGTATATTTCTACATGTATTTGTGAGTACACTGCATGTGTGTAGGCGTACCCTTTCTTTTTGAGGCAAAAATATGGCCGCTTTACGATGCCGGAACTCACATTATAGTAGACTTTAACGTGTACATCACGTATCGTTTAAGCGCAGGCTGCTCTCCATGTTTCTGGCCTTCTTAGAGGCTTACGGAATCCATGACGTGAAGTCGGTGTTGCACCATTATGGCTTCGACGATCCGAGCGTGATGGATGAGACGCTGGGCCAACTGTTTCTGCTGGAGATGGCGCGTCCCGTGGGTGACTTTCTGATCTACTGCCCTACGCTCTTCTTTCTGGAAGAAGCCGCACGCGTTGGTGGCCGAGTGTTCTTCTACGAGCTGGCATACAACCCGAGCTACAGGACGTGGCCCGCTTGGCAGGGAGTACCGCAGTTCGTCGACCTCGTGTTAGCCACGGGTCTTATAGCCCAACTGGACGCCTCGGCACGGGACATGGCAATCGCCCGGGACTTTTCCAGGATGATCGCTGGATTTGCAAGGAGCGGGTACACTTAAAAAAAAGTGTGCCTATACTGCGATTTTATGCCAGATGTATACCAGCTGGCGACAGCCAAAAGAAATTGTGCTCGGGAAGCGTTTGTGCAATATATTCTAAACTCTCTTTCGAGAAAGCCTGAACCAATACAGGTGTTGCAAACAAAAAAATTCAAATATAGAGACTAACAACAAATAATGCGGTGGAAAGTACAGAGGATGTTATTAGAAGTAACGGTAATGTATATTTAAAACTGGACGAAAAGATAACTTGCCGCCGGCAGGATCCAAACTGATGCCATTCAAAGAACGTGTTCGATCTTCCAACACATAAACTTTGGTAAAGTCATCCACCTGTCTACATCGTAGGGTATACACGTGCATTTAAACGTACGAGCTCTTGTCAGTGCCACCTTTTTCCATTAAGGGGAATGTGCAACACTCTGATTGCCTATTCCGTGTCATGTATTAATTTCGATATGACAGCTTACCAATACTTCCTCGTTTACTATTTCAACGCATCAAGTATGCCAGAGCGAAAATCTCACTATAAATGAAAGAAATTGTTAATTTAATAGTGTTTTACAGTCACTGTAATGAAAACTGGCTCTGACGAATGCTTCCACGTTTAAATGCATATATATACCCCATAAAGTGAACGGGGAATGACCGCCGCTGTAGCTCAGTAGTACAGCGTCGGACACGTTATTCGAAGGTCGCAAGCTCGAATCTTACCGGCGGTAAGTTATCTTTTCCTGCACTTTTCTTCCCATATACATTACAAATATTTGTAATAACATCGCCTTTATTTAACCTGGCGTTATTATCTGTTAGTTTTTATTATTGTTACTAACAGAGGAAACTAGCTCTAAATGTACGCTTCCCTTCGTATATACGAACGAAGGAAAAAAAAGTTTGCACTCGTGTAGAGCTTAGAAAACAGCGATGCTAGTCGATCCTAAGTGATGAACTGGATCGTCTCGATTGATGATATATGCTTGGCTTGGATAGAGTGGAGTCGCACCAACACCTGTTTCGGACATTGCAGAAATATGTAAGCTCCAGCGCGAGAAACTCACACGTGGTGGTGGTACCACTGGTAGAAATCGTGGGGAGTTTTGTCAGTCGTATTTTTCTCGCACAAACAATTCGGCGCGGTGGCGGCACGTACTGCCTCCGTGCGCTGGCATGGCCTGGCAGCAGCAGTTACTCGCTGCATGCGTAAAGTTGACCACAGGTGGTGCTCAGCTGTATGTAGCTTAGATAGAAGGCATGGAGGTTCTTTCGCAGGCGTCCAACGTTTTTACTCTAGCTGTAAAAGTTTCCTTTAAAGGTACACTAAAGAGACAAAGCTAAGATGCCTGACTGCAGTTGAGAACCCTACATTTGGCTATAGCTGTCAGGTTGTAGTTTTGCCGTCCTGTTTTGAAGATGATGCTAGGAGAGATTACATTGTATTAGTTAAGTGCGCTAAAACTATAACGACTTGTTCAGTCACACCTTTATTCCTACTGCAGGAACCCCAACGTTCTTCCAAATATGATATGGCACCGTTGGAAACCTTCGTCCGATGGTGCTCTTATCCTGGATTACGACGTGGACAGCGCATACAAGCAAGCTTCAAGTTTCACTGAAAGAGACAAGTGCAAGTTCTGGAGAAGATATTTCACGTCGAAAAGTTAACCTATGGTGTCGTGTGCATCTTGAATAAAAGTGGTGGTTCTGTTTGTCGTTACAATAGAACTGCAACAAGTGAGCGTAGAAAGTGTATCTAACTTGTATTTCTTCCACGAAGTTCAGCATGTCCATGCTACCAATTACGTCCTCAAGTGACGCATATATTGGCAAGGATATAGAAGCGTCTCGCTTTTAGTGCAAAATAGGATTTAAGCATGTGCGAGTTCATAACGAGCACGTGAGGTAAATTCGCTGGCATTCTTTTCGTTCACCCCCGACGAAATGCAAACACCACGGCCAGAAAATCTAAGCCACGCCCCATGCTTAGCAACACTGTACATATCAGCTGGGTCACCATGGCAGGTGACCACCCATTGAAACTACTTGCAGCCGGTTGGATTCATATATTTCAACAATGACAATTTCAACGATTGAAGAAAAATGTTTGAAGTTTGTATGATCTACCTACTGTGAACGGCTTGTCCTGTCCGTATTGTCGATCACGTCTTGATCGTGTGCCACAGGACGAGATTGTGTGAACAACGAGTACTGTAGAGCAAGATGATGATGCCTGTGGGTGGGCGACAGGCTGAATCGAGGTAACTGCAGGCGTTGTGAGAGCTCTTCTCTGCTCCCCAGCTGTAGCTGATCCACGGGACGTTCGCTCGAAGGCTGTTCCTCCCACCGCCGTTTTGGTAATGATTCAACAGAATTCTGTGGGTTATCGTTGAATCCCTAGACCCTTTGAGTGAGGAGGCTTACCTTATTGCCTAATTGTACTTTTGTAGATATCTGGGATACATTGCAGTCACAGAGGATAGCGTCTATTTCAAGTCGACACAATATGGCGGCTTCTCTTAGGGAATAACCCATGCATAGGCTAGTTCGGCTTGGGAATGTAAATATGCGCAGCGTAGTGAAAAAGAGACAAAAAGCGTCACAAAAAAGACACACTGACACTGATTTCCAACTGTACCCATTTGCGCCACACTCTAAAAAAGAATTTAGGTGACTCTTCTCACAGAGTCCTGGCTTACCGCGTATCGACTCTATTTAAATAGGCATGGTGACACTCTTGGTGGGTAAAAGCAGGCGTGCTCTAGGAGAGCATCATGACTCTCTTAGAAAGGTTGATAGAAGCACTTCTTCGGCAATTGATTATGCACTTAATAAAACGTTCTATAGATCCCAAGTACCATGAAAAATGATGTTTTGTGAAGCATGCCGAGAGACGGCGGCTGCGGTGTAATTTTTATAATTTTTATGCAATATGAAATGACGGGTGACTACGAGATTCGTAATATCTGAGAGCAGTAGCAAATGTTCCGAGCTGACCAGAAGCGAAGGGAAGGAGTTTCATGAGGCTCACCAAGCCTATCCATCCTTGAGAGATGCTTGGGCGCAAGCTAAGGTCAAAACTCATGGTATGCTCGTACAGGACGAGTGGTTGCATGAGCATGAACGCATCGCTGGTTTCATGTACAAACAGCTGATGCTACCATCTCAGAGGCACATAAGTGCTGGAAAAGGCTCACGCTTCGCCATGGGTGGGTAATTTAGGAGAGCGGAAAACACTACAAAGGTTCAAAAAGTCACATCTTTGCCGCGAAGCAACGAACGTAATAACAATAATTCGGAAGGTCATTCACAGAACGGAAAGCAGATCAAAATGTGCCCTGCGTTTCTCACGCACAAATGACGCACGAAACGTGCTCGCATCAACAGATACACGCGAATAAGCGTCTCGGTTGTTACTTCGCTTTGTCTAAAAAGCACTCCCTTTTAACAAACGGTGGCTGTGCAACGATTGCAGTGACCCTTGTGCGCCCCATAACTACAACAGAATTGTTCCAGTGCAAGTCGAACACCAGCCAAGACGTATAGTCCTCCCCACCGGGAGGTAAGGGTGTGCGAGAGACCATCCACTCCCGTTCTCTCCATGGGCCAAAGTACGCGTGAGAGATGAGAGCCGCCGCAAGCTCAGTGCGCCATCTTCTTGCTGATAATGCTGAAAACGCAATAATTTCCTCCCCCCCCCGAAATGCCCACCAACAGCGATAAGTGGTAGCTATAAATAGCTTGCCGTTTGGGCATCGTAGGAGGTGCCTTTCGGTGATTCAGTGGTTAACGCCTCGCATTCACGACGTGCGGGTCCTACGTTTGATTCCACGCGTCGGAGTCTTTTTTTAATGGTTTTCTTTGTTGCGTTTTCATATATATAGATAAAGCATACATATACAAAGAGTGACGGCGACGATGACGCTGGTAGCAAAACCCAGCCGAAAGGGTCCATATAATTGCTGTATCATTAAAAGACTATTTTGGCTGCACGTGCCATGGGACGTAAAAACATACCTGAACAGCGATTCAGTCAACCACAGCTAGGGTAAGGCCCCTAGATGAAACAAAGTTTCCAAGGTAGCGTCACTAATTGTTCTCTAGCCGTCTTCCTTACTCTCTTATTTACCTCTCTTTTTCTGTGCCATCTGCGTCTGTAATTGGTGCATTTCTTGCACGTGATTTTGCATATGGCTGGTGGTGTTATTTAATATTATGAGAAAAGTTTAAAATGGGTACACATGCACATATGGCTCGAGCCGGATTCTCGCCGTGACCTAAAGGCTGGTGCACACCGGCGACTAGCAGCGGTCGCGCGACCATTTGCAACTGGTCGCAAACGGTCGCGAACGGTCGCAAACGGTCGGAAAGCAACCACTTTGGCTAGTCGCTTCATGACCAATTTTTCAGTCGCGCTACTGCAGTAGCAAAGCTGCTGAAACCAATTAGTGATGCGCAATTTTTGTTCTTTTGTTTTTTCATTGCGCTGGCTTCCTGCCGCCAGATACAAACGAGTGCGTTCCTCGGGGTCTGTGGCACCATGGTGACCATGAAATACTTGGCTTGGAGATGGCGGGGCGCAGACGCTCGAGCAAAGTGTCGAATTTACGTGGCGGCATTCGTAGGAGATAAACACCGTCAAAGTAAACAGAAAATAAATTGTGCACTATTTTTTCCCCGTAATGAGAACCATTTTATTGTCTTGAACTTGATTTGTCACCGCCTTCAATACAGTGCGTTTGGAACGCGTTTGTGCTTCATGCCTTGGCAACGACTTAAGACCCCGCATTCATGACGCGTTTGTGCTGTATTGTAGGCTGTGGCAACTCAATATAAATTCAAGGTCCGTTTCTGAATACGTACAACTCTCGAAAATATTCCTCGTCGTCTCAGCGCAGCTCTGGAAGCAGGCGGCTTGCATGGCCGGCCAACTCCCGCGATCGAAAGGACGGTCACACCCACTACCGGTTTTTTTCTTTGGAAACATCTGTGATGCCATGGCACAG